AATCAAAGTGGTTGGCAGTGGCGGTTATGGCCAATAGGAAGATATTATTATTGATTCCCCTTACCTTTTCACTATTCCAAAAATTGTGCATTGGTCTTTCCTGACCCTTGGTCGAGGTACTTCTTCCTTTCTTGTTGATGAACTTTAACTCTGTAATTTTCTTCCTCATTGTACCATTGAAAAATAATTTTACCATAGGACCACACGTGATGGCCTCAATGTGTTAGCATTTCCCCTATTATATATGCTTCCGTTGGGAAGATATTTGAACCATATCCTAGCCAATTTGGTCCGATTGAGTGCAAATAGCTTACACTTTGTTGTCTCATCAACGTGGTAGTAATTAAGGCAATCGCCATCATGTTACACATGTTTATCTAGATCTCCATTTTCATGGTAAATATTCAACTTTAGAGGCTTTTCTAGAAATTTCTGTATCCAACTCTCAAGGATGCAGGTAAAAAGGGGATATTTATGTCGACTTTTGATTGGAGGCTTCGCCATTTGTTCCTCGAGGGGAGCATAACTTCATCGACCTCCTTTAGTATTGGAAGGAGTAGTCTTGTGTCTCTGGATTCTCCAATGGTTTAGACATCTTATAGTTGCATCCTGGTGAGACAATATTGTTTTAGTAACCGTCGCAGTACAGAATGGTGACACGCATTTTTGTGGTAGAACCACAACCGTTACGACACAGCCATTGAGGCAGTTCAAATTGTTATAACTTATCATTTTTCTTGTAGTGTCTACATGGTATAAACAAACCCTAAAGAAATGGCATGAAAAGTTTGATAACTTAATGATATTGAATGGGTACAAGGTGAATGAAGGTGAGAAATGCATTTATTATAACTCTGATAATGGCATTTTTACTATCATATGTCTCTATGTAGACGACCTACTCATATTTGATTTAAACCTTCATGTAGTTAATGATTTGAAATCATTGTTGTGCAATAACTTTGATATGAAAGACATCAGAAAAGCCAACATGATTCTTGGTATCAGAATCACTAGATCTGAACAAGGAATTTCTTTAGATCAGTCTCATTATGTGGAGAAGATCTTAAAGAAACATAACTACATTGACTGTAAACCTACTTACACACGATCCTAGTGTTGAACTATTTAAGAGCACCATTGATAGTGTTATAAAAATTGAGTATGAGAGCATCATCGGTAGTCATAGGTATGTCACTAATTGTATTAGACCCGACATTACATATGTCGTAGGATTGTTATGCATGTTTACAAGTAGACCAAGTAATGAGCATTGGAAAGCCATTGAGGTAGTCATGTGATACCTTAAGAGGACCATGAATCCCGGTTTACATTATCAAAGATTTCCTATTGTACTTGAAGGATACAATTTTGCGGATTGGAACACCTTATCAGATAATTCTAAAGCAACTAGTGGCTATATATTTAATATAGTGGAAGAAGTTGTATCTTATAAGTCAAAGAAATAAACTATATTGGCTCAGTCCACGATGAAGTATGAGATGATAACATTAGCAATAGCTAGTGAAGAACTAAGTTGGTTAAGATGTTTGTTAACTGAGATCCCTTTATTGAAAAAACTTATGTCAACTATGTTGATTCATTACGATAGTACCACAACTATTGCAAAAATTAAGAACCGTTAGTATAATGGTAAGAGACATCAATAACATTATTAGATAATGTATCTCTAAAGGAGTTGTAAGAGTGGATCGTGTACGCCTTGATAAAAATTTAGCAGATCCTTTAACGAAAGGATTAGCTATAGAGAAAGTTCATACTACATCTAAGAAGATGATACTAATGCATATAGAAAACGAGTAGCTCGTGAGGGTAACCCGAACTAATAGACCGGAGATTCTAAGAAATAAGTTCCATGGGTAATAACAAGTTGTGAGTAATATGAGGTGATCATGTTGATGTGAATAAGAGAAGCATGAATCCTGAATCGACGAATGAGATGATAGAAACTCTTAATGTGATATATACTATGTATGATGGAATACCTAGCTACATGAGTACTCTTGATAGACTCGCCTATATGATTATGGGACTTAGGTCGGTTCCTATGAAATTTCGAGACAGAACTCCTAGAGCTTTCACTAAACCGTAATACACGTGCATGACCATTATAACACAGTCTATTGGAATGCACCTTAAGAAAAGGTTGTGTGTGAGTTTTATATCTGAGATAGAGTTCAAGACAATTGTGTCACTATTGTTGAATCAAAATCCTACTTGCTACGCAAAGGTTCAAGTCATAGACATTTTTATTTATGCACAATCTTATAAATGCTTGGAGTTAGTTATGAAACAATTTTTTAAATTCAACTGGGGGATTGTTGGAACATGTCAATATTCCAATAGAAAAATGAATTTGAAAAAAATTCCTTAAGTCCTACATTATTAGAAACAATAAGTGTATTTGTGTGTTAGTTGAAAAAATTTCTTAGTCGCACATTGCTTAAATTAAATACATTGACTAATTTACTTCACTATATAAGAAAGTAACAAGTTTCATCCAAAATACACCAAAAATCTCTATTGGTTTTTCCTTCCTCACTGTCATAACTCCGCGTCTTTCGAATTGTCGAAGCACCAACTTCTCCCATTTTCTGACTACTCGTTGAATTTTTCAAGTATTTTCTTAAATTCTCTTTAGAGAATTATTTTAATTTCTCATCGCTTGAATTGAGAGATTAATATTACTAATTTTTTGATTCTCTTTGAAGAATTATATGAATTTTTTTAAGTTTGAGAAATTATTTTGATTAGTCAAATGACCATTATTGAACTATTTTTGGAGAATGATTTGAATTTCTCCATGTTTGAGAAATTATTACGACTGATTTTTATATCAGATACTACAAGTGGTATTTATACCATATTTGACTGGTCTTCGTACCATCGTATAATGTATTTTTAGATCAATTATATACCGTACAAATAGTAATTATATATACAATATAAAATTGTGTTGTTTATTCCTAGAAATGTCGCGGTTGAATGATTGCTTTTCATAATTTTAAATAGTACCGTGAAACATTTTAAAAAGAATGACCTAATCAACAACTCAATTCGATAATTTTTTTAATGACAAATTTTCAAAGCCGTAAAACAACCTATAACAACAACATTGATGATTTATTAGAAGAATGTGGGGTGTCCCTAGTTTACTTGAATTTATCAAGCATACAAATATTTGTCTTATTGTAAAATTAGTCATCCAAAATCACTCACTAAGCTTAGAACTAATTTTTGTGCAATTTATGGTACAAAATTATTAGTTGGCACAATTGCTAGTGAATGATAAAATTAGTCTTTTTGAATAAACCAAATAATAAACTTTAAAAAAAATCTAAAAAAAAACAGTGTCACTTTCAAATTTATATGGGTTGTCCCTGTTTTATTAAAAAGAAAAACATGCAAGTAAAAAGGAAAATTTATTGATAATAATAAATGATAAAAGAAAATAGAAGAGAACAAGAAAACAGCATGTCAGTAAGTAAGAACAAAAATAGTGATGAGAGAAAGGTACATAGTGAAAATAGATAACTCACATGATGTTTGAAACCCTTTAATGGCTGAGGTAGAAAATCATATAGATACACATAGACACATGGTTATATGAATATATAGAGAGAAAAAAGGCTTAAAAATAGGGTTTTGCACATGGGTTCTCATTGAGTGAACATGTCAAGATCATGACAACTATACAGCATGAGGAATTAGGGCCTTGCTGTCTACTTCACTCAGATATTATCTGAAATATCAGTATGTGAGAGCATGCCTCTTCCCTCTCTTCCCATATTCTTTGTCATACTATTACAATACATTCTCTATTTTCAATTTCTTAAGGTTTTTTCATTGTTTTTATAAATTTTATTTGGGTTGAAAAATTAATTTTATATGAATTGTTTTTATAAATTTTATTTGAATTAAAAGAGACTAGAAAGTGTTTCGATAAGCTACGAAAAACTGATTCATAAAACGCAGATTCGAAATCACGACATTTTAATTATTTATTTTTATTTGTCAAAATTATATTGATTCGAATTAAGAGGTGATTTAAAATATTTAAGTAAATTGGTCATATTTTCTTTAATGAGGTTAAATTCTATTGATTAGGATTAAAAATGAGATGAAAGTGTCTAAATAAATTAATTTAACTAATAATTGTATAGAATGTCTAAATACATAGCGCGAGTTTGAAATCACAAAATTTGATTTATTCATTTTTATGAGTAAAATTTCGACCATTAAACTAATAAAAAAAATTAAAAAAATTAAATTTAAATATACTTATATATTCATTTAAAATTGAGTCAAAGAATAAATTTTAGTGGAATTAAGATTTAAAATTTCTATGAACACAAATTAATTATTATCTTAAATTCAAAATTTTCACTTTCCAAATCCCACATAAAGAGAATTTAGTCAACAAATAACAAATTTAAGAAACATTAATTAAAAATCACTCAAACTTAGAGTAATTTTTTTATATTAAAAGAAAACCATAGATAGATGACATTATCCAAATATGCTCTTAACTTGAAAAGATAATATAATAAATTATTTTCTCCCTTCTTAATTATGTGTAAAAATTGTTTAAATAAAATTACATACATTTCATTTTCCTTACAAATTTCCAATCTACCAAAGAGAGTAATTTTCTTTAAGAAATGGTAGAAATCAAATTTTCAAACTAATAAAGTACAATAGATTATTAAATTTTCTATACAAAATTTATCAAAATTGAAAATTTCAAAATTTAACATAATCACATTTCTCTATTAAAAAATAAGCACCTAGACAAATCTAATGAAAATCATAAAAGCAAAATAAATAAAAAAACAAAAATGAAAAGAAAAATACTAGAACAAGGATCTTGTCTCATTTTTCTTCATGAACAAGAGGAAAATTAAATAGAACATTTAAATAAAATAAAATAAAATAAAAAGAAAAAAGAAAAAAAAGAAGCATGAAGAGAGTGAAGGTAGCTATAACAATACATCAATTTGATTCTCATTGTTGTTTCCATAAATCTCAACAAGCTTCTGAAGAATGAAAACCCTTGTCCTAAGAAAAACAATATAATCAGCAGTTTCTTTGAACAATTCATCAGTTTTCACTTCATCTCCATTGTGAGAAGGGATTAAATTTTTAAGTGCTTTTAGCTTCAATGACAGCTTCTTCTTCTTAGACTTGCATTTTTCTTCCATTTGTCTTCTTCTTGTTCTTCTTGTGGCTTTTTTCACTGAGAGTTTGTAACTATGTTTTGTGTTTGTTATGCTCATTGTTTTTGAAACAAAGAACCTTAAAAAAAAAATCAGAGGAAACAAAGAGAAAGATTGAGAGATGGAAATGAATTTGTTTGGTGTTGTGTTTTTTTGAGTTTGAGTTGAAGGGTCATAAGCTTAAGTAATGGGAGATAAAGAAAAATTGCCATTGGATTGTTTTTTTATTACCAAAATGCCATTGTTTTGTAGAAGATTTTTCTTATTTTGTGTCAAGTGTTTTTTTTAAAATTATATGTTCAAGGAATAAGATTGTACAACTCAAATGATGACATGCATATTCAAATTTATTAATTGTTAATTTTTAATATTTAGTGTGGGTTTTGATATTAAAAGTAAAAGAAAAAATTGTGAGAGTATTAACAACATATTTTTTTAATATTATTGTTTTAATGTACTTTTTATTGAATTTTTTTAGTTGAACATTTATTATATATAATCGAGATTATATAGAAATATAAGATAAATAGATAATAAATTCCTTCGCAATTATTTTTTATGATAAAATTATTCTTTTTAAAAATTATATTTATTGTCTTAGGTGACACAATATTGTTATGTATGAATTTTTCTATTTTTTAAAAAAGATTTATTATTTTTGGTGTTAGAAAATCAAAAGTGTCAAAGACAAATGATATGAGAACATACTAATTGTCGAAACATGTTTTCTCATGTTTGACCACTGAAGCAGTTTTGAGAGTTGTATGTCTCACAATAAAATCTTAAATCCTTAGTCCCGCCAATGGAAAAATCTCATCAAGTTTACATATGCATGTTTCTTCATTCCTACTCACCCATACACCATAACATTTGTTTGCTTAAAAGTCGATCTCCTTTCTTGTGGATCAGTCAAGAAATTCAAGGACGTCTTTTTCTTCACAGATACTTCTGCATGCCTAAAAATATTAAATAGGACATTCCTAACAAATCATGTCTAGTATGAATTTTGGAAGCTCTTTGCAATGAATAGTGTATTTCTTAAATGTATTCAAGCACACCTTACAGTAAACAGGCAAATTTCATCAATATAAAATAACTTAATCATAAGCCGATATTTAAGGGTAATATGATATTTTACTGAATATATATGTTGGCCTAGATCATCAATAAAAACAGCAAAGAGAAAATCTTGAATATATACTTTTTACAAACAACTAAAAATTACTTTCTATCTTATGATCTCGTGGTCATATCCAACCAAAAACCTCATTTTATTGAATGCAATTAGAATAATTTATTTTAAAAATAAGTCTAACAATTTTAAATAATAAAATATCTGTGGGTTATTTTTGTAAATAAAATAATATTATATTTGATGAAGATGTATTTTAAATTTATAGTTTATAAAATATAAATTTTTAAAAAGATATATTCAATAATTTTTTTCACAAACTTTTATTGATTTATATTTTTTATAACTTAACATAAGTAGTTTATTATTAATTATCTCTTCAGTTAATTTTATTCTTGTTATTTTTATTTTAAAAATTAAATATATATTCGTATGTTGAATTTTAATTAGTCAATTATTTTTTAGTAAACAATATCATCAACTATCTTAACGTTATTGGTCATCCTCTAGTTCATAAATAATCATCCATAAAATTATTAGTTATAAGTTATTTTATCTTTTATCTACAAATATTTATATTAACAAATTTTTTCTTTATTTTATTTGTCATCTAAACATTATATAAGATAAATAGTTGTTTAATATTTTTAAAGACTTATAGTATATTATTTTGTCAAGTACTTAACATTTTATGAACCAAATGCACCGTAATAATATTATACGTAAAAATATGAGAAGAGAAGATGAAAAAAATCTTAGTAGAATTTTGAAGATAAAACGTGGAAGTTATAATTTATTAAAAAATAACATATTATTTAATTTACATTGAATTTTTTTGAAAAAAATATTAGAATTATTTAAAAAGGTTATAATTGTAATTTGATAACTTAGAGGACACTAATTGAAAACAGAGAAAGCGGGAAGATCGGGAGCCAGTCACCACAAACTAAAGCCTGCCCTTCTGTAACGGCACATGCCAAAGGTCCCTAGAACTCAACTAGTGCAATTACTATATTGCCCCCAATTCATAAATATATTAAATAAAATAAAATAAAGTTTCAACGTATTCATTTCAATCAATTACACTCTTTCACGTCATGGTTAATAGTTATATAGTTAGAAGATTGTGTGTGAATAAAAATAGTAATAAAAAAATACTAGTGATTTAAAATTTGAGTGTCACTTTTGTACTTTCTCATTTTAAAATTTGATAATACCTTTGAATACTTTTTTAGGTTTATACTTATATCTATACTTTATGTTGTTTCTTTGCATTATAACTTGAGCATCAAAGAACAATCTCAAACTTTAAATTATGATTCAAAGTGGACCTTTTTGTTCTTAAGAAAATATATATTGTGCACCAAGTTTTCACACGTTTTACTTATTTTTAGTAAATGAATAAGTGATTGGAAATTGGATTTATTTAAGTGAAGTTTAATTTTTTTTTAATACTATTCATTTATAAATATTAATAACTTATTTATATTAATATATATTACTTATATTAATATTATATATCAATTGAGCTATCGCACAACATTGTAAGAAATTAATATTTAAATTTTAACTCTAAAAATTATAAATTTAATATCGGACACATTTCAAATGTAATTATTTTTAATAAAAAAAATTTAAATAATTAAAAATATTATTCTTTACTTTAAAAATCACATAGAAAGTATAAGACTTTTTAAATATAATCAATAGAAATAAAATGAAAAGTTACAACCAACGATTAAAAAAAAGAATTAAATTAGCCACATCAAAAAGAGATAAACTTAAAAAAAGATATATCTAATCTATTCTTTACAAAATCATTTATAATCTTTAAAGGGATGGAATAAAAAACTATAGAAAAATTTGTGTTAAGAGCTATATTTGCAATAAATGTGAGAAATAACGAGGTTAGAATTATTAAATTTTTCTATGAAGTGGTTCCAATTGTTCCTTAGCTTCAAGGAATCAAAAGAGGGTTGGAAAAGGCTTTGATGACCATGGATCAATCTGTTTCAATCCAAAGCTTATTCCAACCCTACTAAATGCATAATCCATACACTTGATGACGATTGAAACTTCAGAAAAAAAGAGAAATTTGGTTCAACTTTCTCCGCGAAGCTGAAGACGAAGTCACCCAAGTGGTTTCTAAAGATACCGACAACACCAACAAAATTAGAAGAAGCATTGAAAGCTCTGTTACAGTTGCATTTTGTCCATTCCAAGTCGGGAAGAGACCAAATAACCTCCTTGATATTGGGAGCTTTAGGCTGACAAATAGTAACACCAAAAGCCTTAGTTGTAAAGTCTTCGACTAAAATGAAGGAGTTTTTAATAGTGTTGTCTCTCGAGATTTTGACTTGCGTGATGATCATATTGATGGAGTTTTTAATGGAGATATTCCTATTATTATACTTAAGATCATTCCGGGCCATCGAGATTTGATTTAACAGAAAAATGGTAGCAACTTTAAAAACAAAAGCATCATGGGCAGATATGCAAAGCCTGTTGTGAGAGAACCAATCTTCAACATACCTTATCTACATATTAAAATCGACTTTACCCTTGAGCCACCTCCACAGACCCTGAGCATGTCTGCAATTAATAAACAAATGATCCAAACATTCAGAGGCAGAGTTGTATATGACATCTGGAAGCCAGAGATATACCTCTAGTCATGACAAGAGTTGTATATGACATCTGGAAGCCAGAGATATACCTCAGATTGTGCAATATTTTCCAAACCAAGAGAGATTTTTTTGTTTGGGGGGGGGGGGGGGGGGGGGGGTTAGGTATGTCAACACACCAAACCTCTTTTGCCCAAGTAAAGATTGTGATAGTGGGGGCGTTAAACAAATAAGCATCTTTAAAAGTGAGATCTCCATTTTCGTTGTGAATCTAAGTCAACTTAACAACATTAGCAAAGTTGTTATCAAGAATAAGAGGAAGTAAGTTATATAAGAAGGGGAACCATGTAACACCCATTTTAATTATTTAGTCATTTTATTATTATTTTAAATATTATATGTTGATGTGCCCTTTGGTAGGGTGTATTTGATGATGTTTGGTGGGTGTCCCTGAGATGGGAGATCATTGGTGGTAATTTGGTGAGTTTATAATAATATAAGAAATAATAGTAATATTGGTGGTGGTATTAATATTATTATTATTATTATTATTATTATTATTATTATTATTATATTTATGATTATTATTAATATTTGTAGTAATATTATTAATATGGAGAATATAATATTATTATTAATATAGTTATTATATTATTATGATTTTTGGTGTGAATATGATAATATAATGAATAATAGTAATATTGGTGGGGGTATTATTATTATATATTATTATATTTATTAGTATTATTAATATTATTATTATTTTGGTGAGATAATAATATTATTACTATTATTATTATTATTATTATTTTGGTGAGATAATAATAATAATATTATTATTATTATTATTATTAATAGTATTATTATGATTAGTATTATTAATATTAGTAATATTATATTAATATTATTAATATTAAGATTATTATTATTCATATTATTTTATTATTAGTATTAATATAATTGTTATTATTATCATTAGTATTATTATTATTATAATTATAATTATTGTTGGGTGTATTACTATTATTATTATTATGTTGAATATTACTATAATATTATAATAGTATTATATTATATTATTATTATTATTATTATTATAATGATTATTATAATTATTATATTAGAATTATTATTGGGAATATTAGTGGTTGAAATAAGTAAAATAAGAGGTGGAAGGGTTATTGGGAAGTTAGAATGGAAATATGAAAAGTCATGATAGAAACCGTGAGGAAGGAAATATGAAGGGGTAGCAAGGAGATATTAGAAAAGTTGGAATAGAGAGAAAAGGGATTACCATAGATCGT